CATTTCAGTGTTTATCTGAAACATTGTGTCTATGTACTTGGTCATAGTTAGATCGCCAAATGGTTTCCAATTGAACTATTCTTTGTAAAGAGATCCTTCAATGAGGAAAGTAGACAGTTCAGATTATCATATCACGTTGAGGGGTGGGCCCACATGTGATTCCTTAACAGAGGCACCATCTTCGCAAGTTTTCCCTGTAGAAAATATATGAGGCCCGTACTGTAGCTGATGTGATTCACCTGAGAGGCCACAATTACCACGAGCAAACATATTAATGACGAGGAACACATTTCACACTATGGACTCGACTCAAAAAAAAAAAAAAAAACAAAGGCCATTCAAACGGCCATACACAGTTATTTGAACAGCCTTTGTTATTCTCACCAGTCTGCATGCAGACAATTTCACACCTAATCCATTTCCCGTGTGTGTGTATGAACGGAAATGTTCTCTCACCACACAGTGGCATGTCAGCTTGGATTCTTAATTAGGGAGATTCTCTTCTTTTTATCTTCTTTTTATCTTAAAGAAGCTAATAGAGTATATTTTTATTGTTCATGTTGAGAGTCTGGCAACATAACCAGCCAGAGACTTGGGAAAAGAACATCACCCTATGCCTATTTATACCAAAAGACTACTGAGTTGACTCTTGACATCAGGGTGGCCAGTTTGATTCAGTAAATGGCAAGATGCAGTCGGACATTACTTCCAATACATCTGAAAACAGTCAACATTAGTGTGGCTAAGTTCTTCCTTGATAACTCCTATCCCACCAACTTGAGGTTAACAAACACCAGCTCACTACAAAACTAGTCTAGTTCTATAATATTACAGTTGCCATTAAAGTTGACCAAAGCAACAACTCATAATGCACAACAGCTATGACAATAATCTGTAGGTCACTCTAACCAGTTACAGAGTTCCAAAACTTAGTGGAATTGCGTGCACAAACAAGTTCCTTCAGTCTCTTTAATGAATTTACTCAAAAGAGTCAAGATTTGATTTGCCATACTTCTAAAACCATAGAAAGACATGCTAAAAGAAATATCATATCACATAGGATGAAAAACAAAAACAAATTGACTCGTCCACAAATTCAGCACCCGCAAAATATTATGCTTACCATCAACTAGAATAATGTCACCAACATCCACATCATTCACAAAGTCGTCATAGTTTACACTAACTGTGTCCACTGTGCTAACTCCTCTTTTGATTGTAAAGTTAAACTCTTGTCCCTCTTTAAGAAGAATTGGTTGTGGTACATCTCCACTTCTAACCTCAGGACCCTGCATGAAGAAAGAAAAATCATATATCAACCATAACCTCAACGGTGATTAGAAGGAATCAGGATGAGATATTCAAAGCCTTTATGCTATAACAATTATTTACAATGTGATAAATACGAGCATTCACTTGAGAGTAGTACACTAAATATTGAGAATGAAAATCTAAACTAACACATGCTAAATGTAAACGAAACTTTTAATCTAGAAGGGGCAATGTTCTGCATTTTTCAAAAGTCCAGTCTTATTTTATGATACACAATTTGGAGTAGTCTACAACAGTAAAAATGAAAATCACAGTTTACATAATAAATGTAAAATTTCTTCACAAAAATAAGCAGAGTGAAGAAAAAACAAAATCATATGTTAAACCAAAAATAAAAAAACTTTTGATTCCTGAATTTCGTCCTACTTTTGATCCACAGCAGGTGAAACAAATTTACCCGCCAATGCAGCAATTCTTGATACAGAAACCTGTGCTCCTAACCATAAGTTAAATAGGATATGAGCAGGCAAAGAATGAGAGTGAAAAAGCAATCAACATACCTTGGTGTCCAGCATTATGGCTACAACTTTGTCTTCAAATTGAGAGTTGTATTCTTTGACAAGTTCAATGGTTTTCTGGTGTGACTCATGGTCCCCATGTGACATATTCAAACGTGCAACATTCATTCCTGTTTCAGCCAGTTTCCATATCATTTCACGTGAGCTTGTTGAAGGACCAATTGTACATACTATCTTAGTTTTCCTTACACCATCTGAATATACCTTTGGCTGGGCCATAAGGTAATCATTATCAGACTGAAGTTCAAAAGTTGAGTCAGCCTTGTCCTAAAACAAGACAACAACATTTCAAGGTTATAGATTTAGAACACGCACAAGTGATACTATTAACTGCATTCTAATGAAGCACCTGTCTTCAATACATAAAACATAGCAAAGCTAGAAAAAGCATTAAAGCAGGCAATAAATTTACCATGCATTTATTGTATTTCTAAGTTTTATGCTAGAAAGCAACTTAACTAATCCAAGAATCTGTATTCAGCCTTTTAAAAGGAGAAGGGTATTGCAGTCCCCAGCTCCTCACAATGCAAATGTGACGACTGGTATCCTATTTTGTTCGTTTATCCTAAACTTTCTCAGCAACCAAACAGAGCAATATCACGAGAAACTAAAGATTATAGGTGTTTTTGAATTAAAGGAAGAAACTTCAGCCCCATGTGCCTACCAATTGAAATACCAATTATCTAAAATTTCGAAATATTCAAAGTTTTCCACACTCTGAGAGACAGAACAATACAAAACCAAATTAGAACACGCACAAAAGCCACATAAATTCAAGAACTATTGACAACCCATGTTATAAAAAGGACAAAAGCAAAGCTCCCCCAATAGGAAAAACAGAGAAAGCATAACAAATGGAAACAAGAAAAAGCAAACTTACAACGCTCTCCACAGGACCGTTGTGTGAGTTAGAATGGCCTCTGCTGCTGTCCTGGAAGATCCCAGTTGATTTAACAGTAAAGCTTTGCTTCTTCTGAGCATACTTTCTTCTGGGTCTACAGTGAAACGCAGTAGAATCACACAGGCTCTTGGAGGAAGCCAATCGATCAGTGGCTCTAGACCTTTCAGGTTTCAAGAAAGACATTCTTGCGGGAACATTAAGGGTCGCCATTGAAGAAAAGCTTGGAGAAGTGAGAGTGTTTTGTTAATTGTTACTGACGAAAGATAGAGAAAGGAAGCTATGGCCAAATTGGTGATGGCCCTACGAGCTACGGTGAAATGGGATGAGAGAGGGAAAGCCGAGGACGAGAGAGAGTCTCGTTGGAGCAAAAGGAAAGGAAGAGAGTCTGTCCAGGATTCAGACAGTTTGACCGTTTATTTCTACTCCTCTTATTTATATTTTCATTTCTTACATGTTTCCCTTTTTTTCTTTTTTTTCTTGTAAATAATAATATTGGAGATTATAAAATTTAAAAATAAAAAGTATAAAATAACATGTGTGTCAATAGCCTAGTATGAATAAATATTTATTTATATTATAACACAAGAATATATATATATATATATATATATATATATATATATATATATAGAAATTCTCTTATGCGGACATCCGGACGTTATTATCGTGCGGACGCAGTGTATTTTGTACTACCCCTCTTTGTTTTCCTACCTGTTTACAATAGCATCCGCACGATAATAACGTGCGGACATCCGGATAAGAGAATAACTGTATATATATATATATATTATTAGAGAGCTTCTATTGAGGGATCTCTCAATTAGCTTATTTGAGCGACACTTTTGTAAGGCCCATTTTACATTATATTTCACTAATCCAAATCGTCTATGTTTTAGATAATCATTCAAGGATCATCTCTACAAAAAATCACATGAATTCGATATCGTTTGACCACTCAATTGTATTATTGAAATTTTAGTACTTTCTTGAAGCACCGTGTTTATTGATTTTGTAGGATACAATTGGATGTTGAAATGTTTTCCTATTTGTCTAATTTTTTGCAAGGATGATCTATGAATGTAGACTTAAATAATAGATGGTTTGGATCGTTGGAAAAAAATTCATAGGGTACTTTAAAGGGTGTCCCTCAAATAAAATTATTAAGGGATCCCTCAATAGAAGGGGACGGTATATATTATATTATAACACAAGAATATATATAATGAGATCCCTCTAATAAGATTATTTGAAGGACACCCTTGTAGGGCCCACCATACATTGCATTTTATTAATCCAAATCTTCTATTTTGTAAATATTCATTTGAAGATCATTTTAACAAAAAATCACTTGAATCCGATATTATTTGACCATTCAATTAAATTATTAAAATTTTAGTAGAAGCACGTTTTGTAGGTTTGGATTTTAGATATCATTTGATCATCTCTGCACATTTTTTATGTCTAAATGGTTTCCAATTTGTCTAATTTTTTGCAAGAATTTTTTATGAATGAAAACTTAAAAAATAGATGGTCTAGATCGTTGGAAAAAAATTTCATAGGATACCTTAAAGGGCGTCTCTCAGATAAAATTATTTGAAGAATTCCTCAATAAAATGGGATTATATATGGATATATATTGTGACTCTGATACTAAGCAGTCCAGAATTACTGACATTTTGGCGTTTAACCCTAAAATAGCAAACGACGTAGGCCAATCAAAGTCATGTAGTTTTCTAGGGCTTCTTTTTAATGTTGAAAAAGATACTTTATTAAACACCATAAGAATATACAGCGGATATGATGAAATTATAACCATGAGGTCTATATGGACAAACGCCACACGAAGATATCTATTACTGTTAATATTATAGAAGGTTCCCGGAAAATTCTGGTTCATAAGCATATTCTATGACACACACCCTGACACTCACACAAAAGAGAGAAGAAAACAAAACTAAAAAAACCTGAAGAAAAAAAACCGTGATATGGTTCCCATCTCATTTTATCCAAAAGAAGAAAAGAAAATCAATGAAAATATAAAGTTTAATGACCTGAGTCAGGCGTCCTCCAAACCCTTAATTCCCAAATTAGTTTAACACTCCCTCTTAAACCCTAAGCCCTAACCCCAACCACCACTCCGCCGGCGCCGACCACCTCCTGCCGTCGCAGCAGCCCTTGCTCCTGTGTGGATGCAACATTCCCAAAAACCAAAGCTTGAAAACTGAGCAGGACGTGATCAGGAACGACGGCGTTTGAGAAACATTCCCAAAAACAATTTCAATCTCGATGAAAGGTGGAAGGAAGAATCTGAAGAGGGCAGTGGAGGAAGAGAGCTTGACCCTCAAAGATGGTCACTCTATAATGCAAGTGGTTTCTCTACGTGGTTCCAATCTCATTGAGGTGCTCTTCTATTCAATAAATCCGCTATTTTTGTTTCTTTTTTTTCTTTTTTTGGGGGGGTCAAATAGAGAAAAACCCTTCTAAGACTCTGTTCATATTCAATCTATTTCTTCACGCACTTGGTTGCAGTAAAGTGCCAATCTTTAACCCTAAAAGCTGTATTTATTTTTTTCGAAATCCAGTTTCTGCATGTAATTAACAGCTAGTGTTAATGAAAATGCACTAATGGCTATAAGCTTAGTGGGTTGGCTCCTTCCTATGCCCTAGGACTTCACTCAAATCATAAAGGGATGTGCTGGGGTTGGGCTAATTCTTAGATTGAAGTTATGTTCGTAAAGAAAATTAACTGAATTTGTACTGCACAATGTGTTTACAGCTTGTCTTTGATTCTGCTCTACTTATTTAAGGTCATGGATGCACAAGGAGAGAAATCTTTGGCGTTGTTTCCAGCTAAATTTCAAAAGAGCATGTGGATAAAACGAGGTATGTTGACTCTGTTCCCTGTAAAGTCAACCAATTTCAACAGATTCTCGTAAATGTACCCAAAAAGACATTGTTTTTGCATTCATTTTCTATGCAGGGAGCTTTGTTGTTGTTGATGCAAGTGGAAAGGAGAAGGTTGTTGAATCTGGCAGCAGAGTGGCATGCATTGTTTCGCAAGTTCTATTTTACGAACAAGTTCGTGCGCTTAAGAAATCACCAGAATGGTGTGTATTCTCTTCCCATCTTAAAATGATGTGCCACTATCTCACTATATGCCACCCTCTAAAACCCGGCTTGCATAAACATTTAACAGTACGATGTCCTTTTGTGGTTTTTTGGTTATCAGACTTTGAAACTTAACTCAATTTTTACTCCGGCTTCCTTCATATGGGTGAAGGTCTACTGTTTGAGCATTATGTTGCAACTTAATAAAGTTGGAACTGTCAAAATTCTTTTTCTTTTTTCTTTTTTCTTTGGAAATAGTAGTTCAACAAGCCTCCCATAGTATCCAGAGCTAGCACATAATCCTACCAAAAGATGGAAAAAGGTAGCTCATGGACGTGTAGTGTGAAATCCTGCAGCCTTGTGGCACATTTTCTGTAATGTTTTAAGTGTTGAGAGACAGGCACTCACGTGCATCTCCTCCACCTCATCTTTCTTTTTTGTTGGTCTTTTGTTCCTTATATTTGCTTTGACCACCCAATGCAGGCCAGAAATCTTCAAATCCGCAGTTCCAGATGGATGCAACGCAAGTCTGCAGGGAGACACTACCTCCCAACAAGAAGATATTACTTATTTATTTTTGAGTTTGAGTTTTTCATATAACTTCCTTCACTATTATTTCCAGGCACCATTATTATTTAAATCTACAAAGCATTGCTGTCAATGGGAAAATATTGCCAATTGATCCAACACATCACACGGCAGAGGAATTATTATCGACTCATGAACAACATTGGCATACCTTGTTGAAGAAGCTTACGTTCCTTTTGTTAGTGTTGTAAGTTTATTCACTTGGTCTTATTTATGGGTTGATTTGTGATCAAATTTCATGAACAGAAGCTAGCTCCACTTATTAAGGCACAAAATTAAGCTCACTTCCCATTGGAATTTCCTTTTCTTTCTTCTCCATTTAATTCATCTCTCATCCTAATTTCTGTCTATTTGAGTTCAGACTTCCTTTTAGTTAATAAATTGCAGCATTGGGAGGAACATAATGGTTGTGGTGTTTGGTATGAAAAATGAGTATATTATTAAAATAAGATATCTTCTCCTTACTAAAATATGATTTTGTGTTGGGATGTGTAGATAACTTTAGCTGTTTCACGATCTATGACTCCCTTGATTTCAGACGGAAATCAGTGTTATCTTGTAACCACCAAGTTGGTTCTATCCCTAAATATTCTTTAAGTTTCCCTCTAAAGAAAAGCTATGAAGACCTGAATGACATTTTATGTTCCAGTTTGGCTGAGATTTTTCTAGCAATTAGTCTAAACTTTGCCGCCAATGCATCAATGGTGTTGAAATCAGAACAGTACCTTATACATAGTGTAAGATGTTCCTCCTTCTCCATCTATACAAGTTCTTATTTAAAGTCATTGCATTAGACATATGATTATTGCAAATTGTATGGCATAAATGTAATGGGTCATTGTATTGTTATAGGTAGCAACTACTGTGTGGTGCATTGGTTTTGTGTGGTGCATTGGTTTTCAGAAGGCTCAGGGAGGGGTGACAATTTTAGGGGGTTAGTCCCTGAATTTAGGATCGTTATTAAATTTTTGTGGAAAAAAGTTTGCTCATATTTGGTTGGATGAATCCTCTTCAATTTTTCTCAGTGCGTTTATTTGTTCAGAAGCTTATTTATGCTAGGGTTTATGCTAACTAATGTATTTTCTAGTCTACCTGGTGGTGCACAATGCAATGACTTTCTGAGCATTTTGTAGTTACTTTTGTACTGATAAATATTGATTATCACAATTTGCTTTTGAAAACCGTGTATGTCAATCATAAATGTACTATTTTAATTATGCCATTTTTCTATTTTTTCAATTGCAGATCTTGTTCTAAAAGATAAGATGATCGTGTATGATTTAGCTCGTCAACGGATTGGATGAGCCAACTATAATTGTAAGTTCAATTATGAGTCCATATGAACTCTCTTTTTCAGGCTCATCTTCGGTAAATGTCTCCCTTAAGCCTGTAAATAAGCCTAGGCTCAATGGGTTAGCTGGAACCTGGCTCGATTTTTTGAATTATGGGCTTACCAAACCCAACACAATGGGTGGGCTCAGTTCGGCCCGATGTCTAATGGGTAGAGCATGGGCCATGTTTTTAAGCCCTTAAAAAGCTCGGCCCAGCCCGATTTTAATTAATTAAGTTTTATTTAAATTAATAATAATTAACACTCAAAACAAATAAAAACAATTATTACTAATGCTCTGTTGAAAAACTCAAACTCAACATTTAACATAATACAACTAACACAATTATGGCAGGAGGGTGGACTTATGGACCACCTATTTATAAAAGAATTAAAAAAAGAAAAAGAAAAAAAAAAGGGAGGTTTCCTTAAGAAACCAATGTGGGACTCCTAGTAGCAGTCCAACATGAGGCCTCTGCTTGGGATACTGAATTTGCTAAGTACTTGAGGTTGATGAAGGTAGTTTTGAGAAGGTTAATCTTGAGAATAGCTTAAATCTCGTTGATGTTTTCATTGCTTTGGACATCAATGTTGACCAAGGACGACAATTCTAGCAACTTAGTCCTTTTGTTTTGTTCACTTGCCTCATATTTGAAGGCTCACAATTGGAAGGTACATATTAAAGGTTTTGATTGTGTATTTGTGTGGTTTCACACTTTAATTAGATCAGAAGGCTTCTGAATGCAATACTACTCAATTAGCGTTAGTTTCATATTCAGGGTATATAACGTTAGTTTCAATAAGCAATTATGTGGGTTGGGGATGTTGGTTGTTAGGCAAAGGGATTTAGGGTGAGGAAGTATTTGTTGATGGGTTGGCATTTATGGTGATTTGGGTTTGAAGAAGAAGAGGAAGAGGGTGGACAATAAGATTAATTGAAAGAAAACAATTCTTGGGGGTGCAGGAAAAGTGATATATTTGACTGTGTTTTATGAGAGTGGTGGCAGTCCCACATTACAACCAGCAGCATTTTACCCAAACTTGAAGGCCACCCTGACAAGGCGCTTGGGCCCGGAATGTCAACTCGATTTGGACTTCTTTTCTTCAGAGTTTTGCCATATAGGCCCGTGCAAAAAGCCAAGTTGGGCTTTTTACAAAATGTTTAGTTTAGATTTTTGATAAATTTCCAAATTGGTGTTTAAAATATCTAAATATTAGTTTGAAAATTACATGGGTCGAGTAAGCTCTAAAACCCTGAAATAGTATAGCCCGTGGGTAGGGCATGGGCTTAGCATATTTCGTATAAGGCAGGCTCGGCCCAGCCCGACCCGATCACTTACTAGGGCTGTAAAAACTCGTCAATAGTAGGGCATGAGCTCACACCTCCTAGGGCCTGATTGGCCCGGCCAGTAACGTCCCATTTTACAAGCCTAGTCTCCATAACTTCTAGCTATGCTCGACAGTGGAGTGAGAGCAGATCATCATTAGGAGACATGCTATTGAGCCTGCTAACAATAGGGATTGTGGTGATGCACATATTGTTGGCGTGACCTGTGGACCAACACCAAGGATTCTCATATTAATTGTATTTAATTTACTTTAAATCCTAATTTTCTATTGTAAATAGAAATATGAATTTATTATTTTACTTTGCCAATAAAGCTCCATTGGATTATAATTATGACCTCCTATTCAAAGAAATGTCTTATGTTTCAACATTTTCATTAACAACAATTTGTGAGATTTTGAATGTTTCACGCTTAACGCTAGTGGCTTTTTATGTAGGTGGATTAAAGTAGGAAAAATAAACTAACAAATATAATGATAATAATAAAAAAATATTACCCAAAAAAAGAGAGGGAAATATTGTAAAATACCATCAAGGCCAAACTTACTTCTCCAAATACCATTCTTGGCTGGACATTCTTGGAATACCAAGTCTAAATACATACATATTGGGCACCTATCCCGTTTTGCACACTTTTGAATTCACTATCGCTCTCTCTCTTCTTAGGTTCTTTTTCTCTTCTCTCCCGTGTCATACTGAAAGAAAACCTAACTCACTCTCTTAGCCCCAAATTTGGTTATCTCTCTTGTCACACACACACACACACACACACACACACACACACACACACACACACACACACACACACTCTCTCTCTCTCTCAGTTCTCTGTGACCACCACCACTTTATCTCTCAGCGCTCCGCCACCACTGCCAGTCTCTATCTCAGCTCTGCGACCACTACCAGTTGCGACATCGAACACGTTTTGGCTCCAGGGTTCAGATTCCATCCAACAGACGAAGAACTCGTCATTTACTACCTCAAGCGTAAGGTGTGTCGAAAACCCTTCAAATTTAATGCAATCTCTGAGATCGGCATCTACAAGAGCAAGCCTTGGGACCTCACAGGTAATACCCACGATAGCAATAAAGTCACAATATTAGTGTTATATTTTCCAGGGCCATAGTAAACTCTCTTCAACTGACTTGCACAGTTTGAAATGTGAGTTACAAAGCACAAAGGATAAGTTGGCAAAGGTAGCTACTTCAAATCGAGCATTTAGGAAGAGATTGTGCGACTTGGAAGGGATGCTAGAGAATGAGTGTTTGAAATATGAGAAGGAGTCTGAAAAAAATTAAGAAGGCTATGGACTCAAATTATGTTGTATAGTAGGTTCAGATGCTACTTCTAAACGCATTATTGGCAGTTGGGCTGATGTGTCCAAACGGCCCAAAATAGGAGGGGTAGAGTACATTGACACTTCATTTGTTTCAGTACCATTATGACCACCATGCATTAACAAAACCTGCCCCGAACTCCTCGGAATCCGGGATGAATCCTGTGGTAATTCCGACATCATACTGATGCCAGGCCTACTTACTAAAAAGAGACGAGACTTTCTGCTGAAATTTCGATAGAGTCTCCCCTGAAAAATGGACATTCCCAAAATTCTCAACCTATTAAAAACACATTTAATAACACCAACCGGTAGCATGCACAAGATAATGTCATGCAATTAACATCCATGGCCTCCGGCCTTATAATTAACCCTAGTATGGGCGACATCAGAGCATATCTAACAGAATTCAGTTTACAAATAGAATATAAAGTTTAACGGAAGTAAAAACGAATAAAAGAGTGTCCTACGGAAGCTCGGGGTTCGGAAGGAAGATCTCGGCTCGACCACTCGGTTTGAATCTATCTACTGCTTGGGGGAGCAAAACAGGAAAGTATGAGTGGACAAAAACAAAGTCTATTCCACATTTGAAAACAACATAATATAACCCCCCCCACCGTTTAGAAAATGATGCTGAAAACGATAGGCATTCAAACCGATGTAGCTATATATGTATATATATATAGGTTAGGCAAAACCATAGTGAAATCCATAATCTTGTAATAGTATACCATCACCAATCCG